TCATGTTGTACGAGTCACTTAGATTTTACAAATACGTTAGCCGTTCACAGCCCGGCACACGTATTTGTAAAATCTAAATGACTCGTACAACATGGAATTCATATAACACGGAATTATCTACAGTGTTATAAGGGGTCTACTGTATTTGAAATCTGTTCAATATTCCAGTTAAATTTAAAATCAAACATTAAAAAATTAAATTTCTTATAGTATAAAAATAATTATTAATTAATTGATTTGTTAATAGGAGTCATCAAATAGTCACAAAGAATAACAAGAAACACTAAGAAAATTCAAGATGTTCGTACATAATGCAATTTGATTTAGGTTAACATGATGTCAGAATAATGTACTTTTACATTAAATATCAATAAGATAAAACCTACGTTGTGTTACAATGTTTTATTATTTCAAGCTTCTCCCAAAAATTCCCTTTACATAATACATAAAAAAATGTTCCTTTTTCGTTCACCACTCGGAATCTTGGGATTCTGTATTAAATGCCTTTATCATGAAAAGTACACACATTCATTATTATTCAGTAATAAACAGTTTCCAATATGAATGCAGCCAGTCTTTAAACAAATGCATTTGAACACATTAACGAGTACGAATTTATATATAAAATATGTAAATTAATAGACTAATATTTTTACATGTAAAATATTTATAAATTATGTTTTTAAAATGAAACGTTTTGTATTTTACCATTTTTAATATAGTTAATTATGGAGTACAGAAAGATAGTTGCATCCCAGGAGAAACTGTCGGTTCCAAGCTAGTGAAATCAACCAAAGAATGTATGGAATTCTGTGATGAAACTCCCGGATGTAAATCTGCCGATTACCTTGATCCCATTCAAGAATGCTGGTTAAATTCGGTAGACGAAAACGAAGCAAAAGTTCAGCCAGAATGTAATAAGTTTTTTAAACCAAATGAAATTTGGTATTTATCTTTTAATTGCACTTGTCCAGAAGCTGTGTAATATTTTCAATTTTTACGCTTTACCTTAACAAATACTGCTAATAATGAGTTTTGTTTTATTTTTCTTTACGTGTAGGACGAAAACCATTTTTATTTGTGATTCTGACTGCATTAAACTAATTTGTTCGTGTTATGAATGACAGTTTTAACTAAATGGAAATCTTGGGTGTGTGGTAATGTGAGGCGTCAGTACACTAAAGGTTACACCATCAGCTTAAATTTTGTGATTAGGAATTGTGCTAGATCACAAATAAAATCTACTTGATGTTAATGAATGTAGTCTAGTTAATGAAGTTAGCTGAACTAGCATGATTGATGATAGGAAACATCCTAGCTATTTATAAATTAATGAGCATCTAGGACGTCATGACATGAGAAACCTTTACAATAGAATGTATTGCGCATGATAAGAAAATGTATTATGCATCTTCGATAGAAATTTACATAGGTAGTCCCTATGGCGGCACTTCTGGTCGCCATCTTGTTTATTCACAAAAAAGATGGCGACCAGTGCTAACAATACTATACCGGCATTCAAATAAAACAAACATTACTCACCGTTGGAATATTCCTTATTTTCTTAATTTTCTTTCGTATAGGATCGGACGAACAGGTTTCGGCTGATTCTTTCATAACTTCAACTTTTTTCGTAGGAAATTTTTACGTCTTCTTAACACTTGTCAACAAGATTCCTCTCATGTTTTTCGGATTTCTTGGGGTTATTTTTGTGGCAGAAGGTACGGTTTCTGGCTCTTTCCAAACTGGAACACGACCCGCTCATGGATACATCTTACTTGTATGGTGGACGAGCAACTCGAAACGTTCTCCTGGTTTTAATTTTTCCCATCTCAGAAGCTTCTATACATAAAATCCAAACGTATCCAATACGTATTTATCCAATGCGTATAAATACGTATTGGATAAATATTCTGTAAAATGCATTGGCCAATTCTTGCGACTTTTCAGAACCACAAACGTTCGATTTTTTACTTGCTAATCACACAGTTCAGACTGACATCGGACTTGTCATTTACTTTACACACGAAACAGGAATTATCGAGGCAAACTCGGCCGACAACTTCCCTGGTGCCTTTCAATAGCCGCCCTTTTTCGTTCTTCCTTTTCTCACAAAGATCTCGTCGATTTCGACCACATTTCCGGGTTCACCAATTTTCATTTGATTCAAATTAGACAAGGAAATGCCGTATGAAACACATACGGCTGTTCGACAGCTCACGCCCAGCTGTTCGACAGCTCACCCACAGCTGTTCGACAGCTCACGCCCACCGCCGAACACATCGCGCTCAACATACGGTCTATGCAAATTAGATGCCAGACAAATGACCAAATAGTATCCCAAGAAATCCTCCCAAATTTGCCTTTAAACGTACTATCGAATGTCAAATTGTTCAACTTTCATTTATGGCATCGAGAAAGCAACAGAATCACGATCCTTCCGAAAAATTAATTTACGTCAACCTTTACATTTCTCACAAACTGTATCCACAGTTTGCAAACCTAACTTTATGGCAAACTTAAGATCAGACGAAATTCTTTTACCGACATTCGACTCTAAAATCCCCAGAAGTGCACTTTTGCTAAGAAAGCTGTCGTTCGTTTTCTAAAACCTCCATGGAAGAAACAAGGAACACCTTAGGGACTACCTAAGGTGTTCCTATGGTGTCCAAAATTCCAAAAAACTCAAATATATTTTGGTAATAAAGTTTTAGATAAAATTGATTAAATAAATTCGAAATCTTTATTCAAAATTAATACAAAAATTATCTAAAAAATTTGCAGTTTAAATCCCGATTTCGGTTCAGTCTAATCTCGATCGCGCTCGCCATTCGTAAATCGAAATCTTGTAAAATGGAACGAGCTTTTCTTCCATTATTCCTTAGGCCAATAATTGTATCTCGTTCTGTCGTAACAATTACTCTATCCATGTTTCCCAAATAACAACAAAGCTTTACAAATGATTCTATGATATTTACCAACGATCCTAAATGAAATAAAGTAAATTATATAAAATAAATTTGTTTACTGTTATTCATCAATATAAAAGACACTAATACGAAAGGAGAAAAAAGAGAATATGACATAAGCAAAAGTTGTTTTATCGTAAGAAAACAGAAGCTAATTAAGAAAATAAGCAAGCAGAAAAAACAAGTAAAATAGAGCGAAATAAATTGTTTTTCAGTTAACACAGGTGCCATTAGAAAGACTTGTAGAGATAAATGAAACTCCATAATCGTATTAAAAGGAACGGTATTTTCCTGGCCGAACGGTCAAGATGGCAGCCTACCGCTCTGAGGGGCCGCGATCACTAGTAATCATGAAGTAAAACATCGATTCGCCACTTTAAAATAGTGAATGAAAATCTTATGTTAATTAAACCAATAGCTAAGTATTACTTTTCTGACAGTGAATATATTTATCAAGAGGATGGTGCCCCTGACCATATAGGAAAGAAATTGAAATCATATTTTGAAAATATAGAAACAGAGATATTAAATTGACCTGACAATTTACTAGATCTTAATCCCTTCGAAAAAATGAAGATGTAACTGAAACAAAAAACTTATTTTAAGTTTGAAAAATTTAGACAAAAATATACGTCTAGTACGGAAAGAAATTACTGCCCAAGAATGTGAGAAATTAATTTATTCTTTGTCACAAAGAAAAACGATTAGAGGGAGTTTGGCTTGGCATCGGAGAAGACGTTTACCTCCTCCGACAACCCAAATTCATCTCCTAGTAATAAGTTGGGTACCAACCGGGAAAGAAGAAGAGCGGGATCGGGACCAAAAGACCCGATCCCGCTCTTTGTCAGCAAAGGACCAGGCCAAAAAAGCATTTACGTTACATCGCCATCTTCGTCGAGAGAAGATTGAATAGGTCTCTTGTCACCGACGCTGAAATTCTCCTTCATCTTCAAAATCCCGCTTAGATTCTCGCTCATTTAGCAATTAGTCACCCAGACTAATTGCGAGCGTTTATTCCCTTTTTTGCTTCTTTAATAAAACGCGATTATCCATTGTAAAACGGTGTCTCGTTTCTTTATCTTCCATAACCACTCCATTCTCTTGCATCATCTTGACCAAACCTCAGAGCGGAGAGCAAACTTCGACAAAAAGGCACTGGAGTAATTAAGCTTCGAAGTGGATGAAAAAAATCATGGATTATACAGAATGCATTTAATCTAAATTTTGAAATAATTCAATTATTATTTTACTCGGTTTGAGTTTTGCAAGTTTTAAAGTTTAAAACCATGAATTCAAAAAGCACATTTAATATTAGATTTGTTCTTCTTATATTTATTTTATAATGTTAATAATTTACATAATTTAACATTAATATATAATTATTAATATTATTATTTGTTATATTTTAGATAAGAAAAAAATGCTAAATTTTGGAATGATTAAATTATGATCAAGAGCGTTTGCGTGTCACTTTACTAACAATTCGCAAAATATCTTAGAAGGAACATTTATTCAAAGTAATAATACAACAAACTATATTAATTTGAATTTTAAATGATAAATGGTTTCAATACAAATTACATTAACATTTAATTCTACTATTCAGGATTTGCCATTTTATTTTCTTCAATTCAGAAATATTCTTTATCCTCCTCCTTCTCTTTTTCTGCGGCGTGTCTCAGTTTAGTGGGGTTGCTGTATAAATTAATAAATTAATAATATGCAACATTTGTGAAGAAGAAAGTTTTAATTTTACAACTCACTAGTTGTAAATCCGTCTTCTTTCTCCGACATTAATCAGTTTACATTAATTGCAAGACTGAGTTTGCCAATTAGAAAATTCTGATTTGCAACGGTTTTCCTTCAATTATGTATCTTTGTGCTGTGATATAATGATTTGTTTATTATTTTTCACTAACATTTGATTACTACTGCACGTTGGGTGTAATGTGCGTCGATTATTTTTGCACACGCACACAAACAGAATATATTTCATATTTTTTTAATATTTTAAATAACAAAAATATGATATAAATACATTTTTAATTTTATAAAACATTTAAAAAAATTTAATCCCGAATACAGTCGATCCCCCTATAAGACGGTAGATACGTACCGTTCTTTATGAATCAATTTTATAGGAATCACAGCCCGACACGTGTGAAGTTTACGGACTACGGCTGTTTGAAAGGTTTTCTTCCATAAAATTAATCGATTCTAGACTAATCCGACTCAACATTTCCAAAATACGTATATTTTTTTTTGGAAATAATCCGTATAAACTACGCTATAAACAAAAAATTGTAGGATTACTTACCGAGTGTACACCATTCGACATCGCCATTGCTCAAGCTTGTTTTCGT